TGTATGGATGATTGAGATCTGGGGGCACCGGTCGGCACCGTTACTACAGCTGTTGCACTGCGGGTTTGGCGTCGGAAATATCATATCCCCGCTCATACTTAAGAGTCATTTAATCGGGGAAATACACGGAAACTCGAGCACCGGTAGTCAATCCATTGGCAATAATACTAATGAGACGAACGTTTGGGTGGAGAGTAGTGTTGACCGACGGACGGGACTTATAATCCCCTTTCAAATCAATGCATTCATTCAGTTATTATGTAAGTATTGAGTTATTTAAATGTTATTTAAGTGTTATTAACATTAATAAAATTAGTGATAGGGAATTAACTTGTCCATGGAGATGTAAATGTCCATGATAAATAAAAACTTAATTTTGATTCAAATTCAACGCAAAATTGACCCCTAATCTTTATTGTAGCGCCGGTAGCCCTGGTTGTGATGTTTATATGGAAACGCTATGAACCTCAACATTCCATACAACACTCTGACTCCAAGTTAGCTACCGGTGACATACCTGAGCTGAAGCTGTTTGATAGAGAAGGCTTTCCCCGCCAACGTGCTATACTCCTATTCTGTGTCTGGCTATCCGTTTATGTAGTATCCGAAGCTACTATACTATTATTCGGTGCCACATATTTCCAGTACTGTCCCCTAAAGCTAACGGCCCAGGAGTCGGCACAGTTACTCTCAACAGTGGCCACGGCGTTCACTGCGGGCCGTGGTCTTAGTGCCCTATTGGCCCTACGATTCAAACCGCAACAAATGATTTGCTATCACTTTGCTATACTAATCATCGCCACTATTACCCTATATGTGGGGCAATACAACCTAACGGTGCTGTGGGTGTCCACTATAATGGCAGGACTTGGATTTTCAGCCATGTTTCCGGCAATGTTCGCATACCTGGAACAATACCTGTCCATCACTAACCCTATCGGTTCGATCGCTATATTTTCTTCAGAAGTAATAAATTTGTTAAATCCGTATATTTTAGGCGTTTTTGTGGAGAGATATTCGTGGGTTGTATTGATGTTTGAGTCCATTTATGTCGGCACCTCTTTGTTACTATTCGTTTCGTTCATAGTATTAGTGGACAGGTATTCAAAACTTTTAGTCAGTAAAGTGAGTTCAGTAAAGAACTTTTAGTTGTAAAAATTATTTAAAATTCAATGCTAACCCACTATTGGTGTACTTATCTCCTATACCCTCAGTAATGGTGATGCAATGGAATGCAATTTAATTTATTTTTAATTTATAATAATGTATTTATTTATTCTGTTGTGTTTATAATTTATTTTCATTATACATATAAAATGAGAAGATAAATTTTAGTAAATATTAAAATAAATGTTTATTAACTCAGACTTTAATACAGTATGTTGTAAAATATATAATATAAATGTTAACTGGTAGAATTTTTTAATTGAACATGTTTTGAGACATATTTTCTACAAATTCAAATGGATATATTTTATAAAACAATAATATTTAGGATGTGTGGGGGTGTAATCAAGAGACCCGGGTTAAATACCCGGTGCATTCCCTTTTTAAGCTTAATTCTCTTTTGAATGATTTCTAATACCTTCCATTCATTTATCTTATAATTAAAATTAATTATTGAAAAACATTTTAAAACATTTAGGATTATTTATATATTAAAATCATTATTTCTATTTGGTAAAATTAATTGTAATATAAACATATTTATTAGAAAATATGATATACCGATATAATTGCATAATAAGTTAAAAATTGTGCAATATATTTGGAAATATTTAATTAATTATGTTTTAAACTAATATGTAATTATGAAATATATAACTTCAATACTTTAAATTATGTTTTAGCTATTAATTTTAGGTACTATTCATTTATAAACTAAATTTTAATTTAACATTTTTAATTATTTTATTCCCAATACTAACTACAGTTTTCATTCAGTGACTGAGCAAACATAAAATTATTATATTTTTTAATATCAATTGATGTGATCATAAGATAACTATTGATAAAATAGTTCAAAAAAGTTTTAACTATTTAAAGTAAATATTAGTACGTGTATTTAAAAACTAAAAAGTAAATATTAATTGTAATTGTAATTTTAAATTTCTGAAATAATAATTTTGAATTTAATAGACATTAATATAAGATGTCTGAGAAACCGGTGAGGAATGAGTCCACAAGACTTGTTACCGCAAAGTTACGTCAGAAATGGGACAAATATGTTTATACCCTGATCTTTGTGTACACACACATTGCATTCGTAAATAATTTATAATAACTAAAGAGACCAAGTTGTATATCGAGGTTATTTTGACAGGGAATGACCATGACAATGTATGCGCCCGTTATGGTCGATATGAAGTACATTCTGCACACATCCATACGCTATGTATCGCTTTACACCACTTTCCTATCGGCCGGGTATATGACGGGAACTGTATGTGAGTAAAAATCATTTGGATTATCCTTAGAGTACATAACTTATTGTATCATTGTATTATTTAGATTTTTTTTATTCATTATAATTATGGTAATACTCACAATTTATTGCATACCTTTCCAGTCGGATATCTATACGAATACCTGAACCGTCAGTTAACAGCCATTATATTTCTGGCATTTATGAGCATCGGGTCAGCCCTCACACCCCTATCCCCTAACCTCTCGGCACTATACACGTGTGCATTTTTGGTGGGAATGGGCGCCAGTGTGTGGAACAGTATGTGTAATGTATGGATGATTGAGCTCTGGGGGCACCGGTCAGCACCGTTACTACAGCTATTGCACTGCGGGTTTGGTATCGGGAATATCATATCCCCGCTCATACTTAAGAGTCATTTAATCGGGGAAATACACAGCAACTCGAGCACCGGTAGTCAATCCATTGGCAATTATACTAATGAAACAGACGTTTGGGTGGAGAGTAGTGTTGACCGACGGACGGGACTTATAATCCCCTTTCAAATCAATGCATTCATTCAGTTATTGTGTGAGTATTTTAATAATAGATTTAATTTTAATTTACTACTGAATTGATTACAGGGTCAGTTTTATTATAGTTATAAATGTTAATCAATAATATAAAATTGTATAAACATTTTGATAAAATATTTCTCAACTATAAATAAGAATCAATAACAGATAATAATATAGTGGTTAAAATAAGCAACTTAAATTTGTTATTGTCAATAACTTATTGATAGTGTATAATAGTATTCATACAGTATTAGATATTAATATTTTTTTTAATTTTTAACAAATTTTAACCTATGATTATCGTAAGGTTTAAGGATATAAAAATTACCCAGACATTTTTTACCAATATTTATCATAATTAAAATTAATAATTCAATTATCTCATAATTTAAGCGCCGGTAGCATTGTTTGTGATGTTCGTATGGAAACGCTATAAGCCTCCACAACTAATAATTAACTCCAACTCTATGTCAGTCACCGATAACACACCGGCGCCTAAGCTGTTTGACAGGGACGGCTTTCCCCGCAAGCGAGCGATACTCCTATTCTGCGTATGGCTGTCCACCTACTGTGTAGCCGAAGCTACTATACTATCATTCGGTGCCACATATTTCCAGTATTGTCCCCTAAAACTAACGGCCCAGGAGTCGGCACAGTTACTCTCAGCTGTGGCTATAGCGTTCACTATAGGCCGTGGAATAAGTGTACTAACGGCCCTAAGATATAGTCCCCAACAAATGATTGGCTATCACTTTGTTGTACTAATTATAGCCGCTATTACCCTGTATGCGGGTCAATATAACCTATCGGTGCTGTGGGTGTCTACTATTATGACAGGTCTAGGACTGTCAGCCATGTGTCCGGCAATGTTCGCATACCTGGAACAATACCTGTCCATCACTAACCCTATCGGTGCGATCGCTATATTTTCTTCAGAAGTAATAAATTTGTTAAATCCGTATATTTTAGGCGTTTTTGTGGAGAGATATTCGTGGGTTGTGTTGATGTTTGAGTCCATTTATGTAGGAATCTGTTTGTTATTATTCGTATCCTTCATAGCATTGGTGAACAGGTATTCCCGATGTTTCAATTCCCAAATTGATAAGCAATTCAGTGTTATTGATAAGCGATTAAATGGCAATACTTGTGATGGTGGACCGGCTATCGGTGATCCAGTCTCCCATATCATAAGTAATGGTGTTGTGGGAGATTGCAAATAAATTTTCTATTCAAATGATTTTAATTTAAATTATTTATTTATTTTAACGAAATTATAATTTTAATTCATATATTATATGTAATAAATATAATTTGAAAATTAATATTCTAAATAAACTATAAAATTAATTAAAAGCATAATTATATGAATATTCTGTGCTCTCTCCAATTTATTTAAAAATCAACAGGCTTTTCTATAATAAGTTTAATAGTTAAAGAATTATTAACCTGGTATAAAATGAGAACTGAACTGATTTTATTATTCATTGTATTTGTTTTCACATAAAGTGAACTATTTTTGTATTTCATTATAAACACTATATACACTATAAAAACACAAAATTTACTCGATGTTTTTTTAACGTTAAAATTGTTTTATTGAATATTATGAAAATTACAAGTTTACAGTTTATAACTTATACTTGTTTTCAAGTATAGAAAATTGAATACAATGTACTGTATTACAGGTTGTAAACTAAAAGTAAATAAATTGCAGTCGTATTATGAATAATATAGACATTCAAATAATACATAAAAATAAATGAAAAACAATTGTTGCTTATATAGCATTAATCCGGGTCAACTTCTATACAGTGAAGTACTAACCCTTTGTGTGTGTAAATAATATTAAGATTAACCTAAGTATAGTGTATATTGTATGGTATGTATTGTGTGTGTAGTTTTGGGTACAGTTTATAATCCGATTATTGGGAAATACTGTAAACTCCAAAATATGCTAAATATATCAATGATTGTATTTGTGTATTATAGTGTATATAGTGTTTATAATGAAATACAAAAATAGTTCACTTTATGTGAAAACAAATACAATGAATAATAAAATCAGTTCAGTTATAGGTATTTGACCTATAATTAAATACAATAATATAAATGAAAGTATTTCTTAGAAAAACTAAATATTTATTAAAACATTTTTTGAATTACTTATTTATTTTTATAATTTAAAAGCTTATTTTAGCTTTGGGTGGGGAGTAGAGTGGTGTAGCGGTTAGAGTGTCCGCCTAGCAATAGCCAAGTTAAGGTTAATCAATAGGAGGGGTCCAGAGACCACCTGAAAGGAGGTGTATAGGGGGGCATGAGATCGCGCCCGAAAAATTATTTTTTATTAAAAGTTTTAAAATTTTTTTGAAGTACTTTATATAAGTTTAATAGTTAAAGAATTATTAACCTGGTATAAAATGAGAATATTAATTAATTATAGCGAGTGTACCAATATTTGCACACAAAATACATTGCCCTAACTTATTTATAGCCTCATAAAATACATTATAACTAATCTATAAAATAAATGTGCCATTAATTACTTTATACAGCATAAAGTTTATACTAGTATTGTATAAATAATATATAAATATAATTTATATTTTATCGCATTCATTATCAATGTTAAGGTTAGGTAACAATTTCGATGAACTTATTATTTAATTGATCACATGTTTTCATACACAGGTATTAATATTCATGAATTGAATATTATTGTCAGCATATTATTTGCTAAATACAACAGATTTTTATAGCAAATACCACATTAATTCTGGTTACACACAAATATTGGTAACACAAAGAATTAATAGCCTTTCTAATTATAACATTATCGTGTTTATTTAATCAAATTAATATTAATATTGTTTATTCAAGAATTTATCGGTTTGTAATTGCGAAATAAATAGAGTTATTTGTAAATACGGTATATAATTCAACAACCTTCAAATATAATACACATATTTAACTGAATTTATTTGCAACTAAAGTAGTATAAAATAAATTATTATTTTGAAATATATTCATTTGAAACTTTTATTTCAACAGTAATTTAAAGTCCAATATTCATGAATACTTTGTATAATACATTTAGTGCAATGTTTAAATAATTTTTAAAATTAAAATAGTATATTTTTATAAACTAAATAAATATATTAAATATTTTAAATTTTCATTTAATTTATCAGTTGATATGATCTTAAGATTACTAAAAAATATGTTTCAAAAGAGTTGTTAATTATCTCAAAAGCAAATAATAATTCTTAAATTACAGTATATGAAAGTTTTGTGAAA